TTAAATTACTGAGTATGGGCAGGGGCAGTTTGGACTTTGCTAAACAACTAGTTGCAGACAACATACCCAACGAGCCTACACCTCTAACTGACCTTCCATGGTGTCAGTGTCGTGTTTGTGTGCCAATGGAAACAGAGCAAGAAAATGTCTGTTGCAAGAAACGCCAGTGCATCACTTCTTATAGAACCTTAAATAACATTTGCTTGGATAGAGACATTCTTGAAGTGTGCATAAAGGCACGCTGTGATATCAGAGCTGATGAATTCAATTTTTCCATGGAAAGCTTCCGCAAAGCAGCCTATCGCCAGTTCGCTCTCTGGAAATATGGAAAATTGGGTAGAGGGAACAGACGCGTCCTACCTGCCTGTGCAGTAAGGATGATTCGACAAGCATACCCTTCTCCTGATGGGAGATACATGGGATTTAGAAATAACTGACATGTGAACAGCTGTCACTCATGCATACTGCATATTATCAGCCTGATCAGCAACACATATTCCCTTCCGTGCCCAATTTTACCTCGGTCTGGATCATTAATTAGGTAGTCTGGCCATTAGCATTACTAAAAATGGACACTGGACACCTGATACCTGTGGTCATCAATATCATTGTTAACAGTTTACATGGCCATTTTGTTTAGTAGGGAGATTAACACAAAAGTCTTGAACAGAAAATGAACTTCATCAAGACATTTTTATTCTGATGTTGCTATTTCTATACATTAAAAGAACCTACTTTTTTCTGCACATAACAAGTACTGGATTTATATTAATTTTTGTTGAAACTGATGTAATTCAAAACTATTGCTAGCTTTCCTTTGCTATTACTAAAATAAGTTCAGTCCATCAGCTTGCTGTAGATGTCTAAAATAACAAATCCCATTTGAAATGGGACTTTTCCCTGCTTGTGCACCTGCTAGGACTTAACATGAATATGAAATATTGTTTTGTTCAAACTTTCTATGTAAAAGGGAAAGCCCTTAATTCATTTGTACAAAATTTTAATAAATACATGGACATTTTAGAAACAGTTTCGGATGTAGAAAGATTTAGTATGCTGTGACATAGTTCCAATGCTCTCATTTTACCTTTTTTTCAAAACGAGAAGGTCCTTTCATCAACTCCTCAGTTGGATCAAATTCATTCATTCTATCAGAAGGCAATGTGAAACTGCCCTCATGCATGGAGCACCTGTGCAGCATTTTTGCTTCAAGGAATGGGAAATAACTGAAAGACTTTTCTTCTTTCACAATTTCGCCATGAAATTTTTGAGACCTTTTTGAATATTTTCTATGGCCTTGCTCTTTTCCTGCTATGGTTAGTTTTGATTTTCTTGACAAGTGCATGTTGTGGTCAATTGCAGCCAAAGTCACTCTCATGATGAAGTAAGGATACCTAGTAGAAGGTGATCAGATAATACATAGTTATTACCTGTAACACACAAATTAAATCAATTAATTGGTTTCACTTGAATCTATAGTGGTTTTAAATTCAGTGTTGTAAAACCAAAACCAAACCAATTGCTTAACAATTACCAGTAGACTTATAAGCCATTCTAGTGAAACCAAAACAAAAGTAACTGCCTGATTACTC